TTTTTAACCTGCTAGCTACATGCTCAAAGACAAATTTCTACTAGTTGTTGTGAGAACAAAATAAAGTAACGCATGTAAAGGGCACAGTACAATGCCCAATGTACATCTCCTCATAAAAATCCTCACCCCTCACAATAAATACTGGTCTTGGAGCTTATATCAGTGTAGAAGTATTTGACACCAACCATCCTTCTACCTCAGGGACATCTACACAGGCAAAAGATCCTATAAAGATTTCATACTAAATAACCTCACTCCTTCATCCCTCCCTCTAATTTGAAGGTAAGAAAGCCATCAATAAAGTTTCTTTCAAATGTATTAAATCAGGGCATGATACAAAGCATTCATTCTTCTAGAAAGTATTAAAAAGTACTGAACTGAGAGAGACACATGGAGAGAAACACTATTAGGGGGAAACGCGTATTTTGTAGTGCAATAATTGGTAACCTTTCCATAAAGATTGATGCAGTCTGATTATAATTCCCAAGTGTCAGTAATCAGTTCTTAAGGTAAAAGAAAAAAGGAAGTGGGATGGTTTCAAGCACTCCAGAAAAGGTGTAGGAGGATACCCTTTCCCACTGACAGTAATTAATGTTTGAATGATGGCTGCTAGAACATTCTGACTGAAAAACTTTGCTACATTAGAATAGACTGAAATACATTTAAAACAAAACTTACCAGGTTTAACATACACAAACACTTAGCCTTCACCTTGATCTACATGTCCTCTCCCAACAAACTAAAAAATTGGCAAACTTGTGTGAAATTTCAATTACATAGCTATGATGGGGGAAAATGATAGCTTTCAGCCATATTCCTGTGTTAAACGCCTATTGAAAAGACAGTATCTACATCCTGCAGTCATAGTCGGACTTCCTTTTCCTACCTCCCAACAAATTTCCTTCAAGCCACACTAGACAAAGCTTCCAGAGAAACAGAAGAAAATTTTGGGGAGAGGGAAACATTCAGAGCTTAGGGATATTCCTCAGAAATTTCACTAAGTATTGAGTTCTTCCTGGAACTTGTGGACCAAAGCTACTGCTCTTCTTCCCTCCCCTTTCCAAAACTCTATGCTTAGGAGTTTGAGTTAGTAATACCTCCAGGAGGGACCAAATCAGTTACCGATGCTACAGAAGTAAGCGCCGAGTATTGGCTTTGCTTGGGAACTATTATCTATATTATTGTATTCCAGCACTTAATGTTTCTTCCCACCTATTGCAGTTCCAAACTCATTCCAACTGTAAAGAAGTTTCATCTAAATAGTCTACAGCCACAAATCCTGTGGATGAAGATGGAACTTTTCTCTGCCCAACTTTCCAAATGACCACTTACTCTGCCAGTGAACTTTAAGCTTTATGCCTAAAATCGGAAGAAAGTGTTACAAATGCACAAAATGCAACCCATTAAATATGTAACAAAGACTTGAAATCTGTTTAAATGTAGTATACAAGTTTTTAAAATACAGTTAATAGGAGATATAAGGGGCCGGGGATTTAGCTTAGTGGTTTCACCACCTGCTGCCCAAGAGCAAGGACCCGAGTTTGATCCCCAGTAGCAAAAAAAAAAAAAGAAATAGGAGATATAAATAATAAAGCCTTCATTTTAATTAAGACTTCTGTTTAAATACTAGTAGTAATTCCTCATTTTCCATTATTTTTAGAATCAAGGTTTTAAAGCACATAACTACAGAAATTGACTCATCAGTAAAATGAAAGGTATTGTATAAGCAAATTTCTGTATCACGTAAGAAACAGATTTAAGAACACAGAACCATGGTGCTGAACCTATAGCACGCATGCTGCAGCAAGCACACAGAGCCCTCGGTCAGCACATGAGCCAAGTCGCCCCAGCCAAGATCTGACAAATTATCAGCATGCACATAACAGCAAAGATCACACTAATTGTGTAAAACCACACCAAATGACAACTTTCATCTTTCAATAAAAAGCTGTTGTATAAGATGTTAATGTATGAGTTGTTTTTTCTAGACTAAAACCTCACTATTCAGGTTTAATTGCAGTTTTGGCACTTTGCAAACAATAAGTGGGTTTTGGGTTGCAGTTTGGGCACTTGGTCCCTAAAAGGTTCACCATCACTGACCTAGAATGTTAGTGTTTTAGAAAAAAAAAATACAGTATTACACATTAGCCACAATAGGATATCAGAGGAAAAGTCCAGGAAAACTTCATTAATTTAGGCCCTTATAGTTATTTTAAGTCAGTCTCAATTAACTTTGGACTATTCATTAAGAAAGTGTTGTTATGTAGCTCAGTGATAGATGTTCGCCTAGTAGGTGTGAGTTCCTGGGTTCGATCCCAGGATCACAAAACAACACAAAAACAAAAGATACAACAATACGTGCATTCTTTAGAATCCCATATTCCAATGGAAATAACCTGTATAAAACAAAGAGACTAAAACACTGCTGAAATCTATCAGATAATTAATTGTTCCATGACTCTGTTTACTTTGACTGTGAAAAACTGGTTTAGGAGTCAGAAAAGCTTCACAGACAGGACACTGGACAAAGATTTATCCATTCTACTCAAGGACTGGCAATCTAATTCATTCATTCATTCATTGCAGTACTGGGGATTAAACCCAGAGTTCCATGCATGCTAGGCAAATGCTCTACTACTGAGCTACATCCCCAGCCCCTTTTTATTTTGAGACAGGACCTTGTTAAATTGCCAGGGGTGCCCCCAAATTTGCAATCCTCCTGCTTCAGCCTCTTGAGTATCTGGGATGACAGGTGTGTGCCACCATGCTTACCTTTCTATTTTTATTTTTAACAATGCTAAACTATACTATACAATTAAAATATAGCTCAATCTGTTATTATTTAAAGTATTGAGAAGTATGTAAAAATTCCCATGTCTAGACTAAGAAACATAAGATCTGTAAACTTAATTTATATTCTACTTAGTTTCTAGATATTCATTTTGTCCTTAACAAAAACAAACAAAAAACATAAAAAGTACATTTAAAACATGGTAATTTATGTGATTGTAAAAACACAGTAAATGGATTATATTCTAAATCAAAATTCCGAACAAAATTTCACAAAATATTATGGTAGCAGGTGTCAACATAATTATATATGTCTAGATCTAGGTGCATATAAAAATCACATGCTAGTTTCTCCTCCAAGTTAAAATTTAAGGCTCTTCTCTTTTATAGCTTAATTTTAACTTTACAACGACAATACACACCAACTATTCAATCCTTTAAAAATGACTTGGGCATCTGTCACGTACAAGCCAGGTACTGTATCAGTTGCTAGATGGAAACTAGTGAGTAAAACACCAGGTGAACCACATGGTCCCTGCTTCAGGGTGTTCAGTCAACAACATTAATTTGGAATGAAAAGAAAAGCATGCACGGGAAAGGCAATCTGTATCTTAAGACAATACATTTTCTATATAGAAAAAGGTGAATTTTAATAGGGTTTTTATTAAGTCAAAGAACAGTGAGTCATTGACAAAGTTGGTGTCTGCTTCACATGAACTCTTCCTTGCGTAACTCTTACCTGACTGAAATAAAATCTAAAGCAAACATAAAATTAAAGATCACATTCTTACCAGAAATTCATAAAATCCTTTGGACAGAAGATATTCAACATAAATACACACATATTTACACATGAATGCATATTCACATTCTTCATATAACTTGATTATATCACATATTACCCAAGTACAGAAACCATATTCTGTATGTTATTTAGCAGTTGGTATCCATGTTTAAAAGATATTAAGAATTTTCTTTTTAAAGCTTGAGTGACTAAAACACAAAAGTATTGCTCTTCACAGAGAAAAACTGTGTACTACTCAAAACAATTATAGCTGGTTGATCAAAAATTTTTAAACATTCGTAATGAATTAATCAAGGTAAAAGACCTAAAAACAAAGAATTCAATACATTTTAATATTTTAATTCCATTTAAAGTCCAAGTGTCTCATTTATACACAAGAACCACAGATATGTTCTCAATAAGCAAATTCTTTATGTTAGTAAGACTATCACATGAGAGGTCTTTCAAAACATAAAAGGTTTAATAAAAAACTATTTAAAAAAGATACTATTTTTTAGATACTCCATTGGATTGGCAGACTAAAAAGATTAACAAAATTCAGGGTAGGCAATGAGATGGAAAAGACAACACTCCTGTACTTTGAGTGGGAGTAATCTTCAAGTTAAACAGGCTATATTTATCAACATTTAAAATGTGCGTGATCACTGATCCAGCACTTACACCTCTAAGAGGATAAATGAATGAGTACACAAAAATCAATACACCATTATCCGCAAGGAAGAAAAACAAAAAACAACCTAAACAGTCATCAAAGGAATGGTCAAATAAAATATGGTACCTTTAAACAATGGAATATCATGCAGCCAATAAAACTGTCATGTATGATTATCCATGTCTTTTCCAATTCACATACACAGATGTGTAAAACATACATTAAAAAGATCATAAATTTTGTATAAAGACCACAATTCACTTAAAATCTTGAATATCAATACTTTTATATTTATTGACAAATTCTCAAAATTATGTTCACCAAAATATTAATGGTGGCCATTTCTTGGTAGCAGGAATTGAATGCTTACTTTTGTCATTGTGTTTTTCTATACTGATGGGAATTTTTCTCATTATAATAAAAACCAACACATTTTTATTTAAGAAAAAGATGCACTATTATCTTACTAAAGTGGCTTTAAATCTTTTCAACTCCTATAGGTTTGTACCTGCTGAATCTCCTTGTCAGTACATGCTCTAAAACAGTAAGTAATGCAAATTTAAAGATTAGATTCAAAAGGGTAAGAAAACCCAAATGACCTTAGCAAACTGCCTGGCAACTACCGTATAACCTGTAAGTTCTATGAACTCAAACACTCCTAAAATAATCTCCCTTTTAAAACCTTGAGAAAGCAGGCTATAAAGAATGTTTTTTAGAAAAAATGAAAAAAATTAAATTACAAAAAATACTTACCTCAATAAAAATATTTAGTTTTTCTCCCGTCTTACATTCTCTTCCTTAGCACCTTTATTATGAACCTAGGGGAAAAAAAGTAAAAATCACTTTTCATTGAACACCTATCACATGCCAGTAAGGTTGCTCAGAGAGCCTTCTGGATAACATAAAAGTCTGAAATAAATCAGAAAGAACAAAACAGAAATTCCCAAAACTGGATGGTTGGGAAATAGAAAGTTAAAAATGTAATTAAAACCTTTCCTGAACTGTCCAGGGACTGTATTCAATAAACATTTCTACAGCATTGTAGCAAGTCTGAGAGTAAGGTGTGGAACTCTGAGTACCTGCACTTGAATCCCAGGACCACCACTTCCCATCAGTCTGACATTGGGCAAGCCACCTCACCTCTGACAGCCTGTTTCCCATTGTACAATAATAATACCAATTAGGGATTGGTGAGGATTACATGAGACAATTCACATCAGTGACTGTAACAGTTCCTGGAACATAATAAATGTTAACTGTTCTTCTTATTATAGTCTCTAATACAATTTTTAAAAGTCTGCCTCTCATCATATTCACCCACTATTTATTATGCTTATTGTTACTATTCTTAAAAAGGAGCACAGGCATTTCTTCCAGGGGTCAACAGTGTAAGGGATGAGATGAGTTACCCAGATATACAAGGCAAAAAAAGATCAAAGTCAATTCTTCATTCACTTGTTTAGCAAACGTCTGAATTTGTATTCTCTGTCAGGTATTTTGCTGGGTATATGGCATTCTTTGCTGTGCAGGACAGACATAAGTTCTCTCTTCACAGTTTCTAGTCTAGTGAGGCCCAGGGTGCAACACAGACAAGCTACTTACTGTAACAGATATGGTACTGCTTTTTACTGGGCTGGGGGCAGTACTTCACTGGCAGAACATACTAGGTGAAAAGGATAGTGCAGGAAAACACAAGGGCCCTTGGGGCATGCTAAGTAGTGTCCTTAGGGTACAGCCAAGGAAAGAGTAAGTAGCAAACCAGAAAGAAGGAGGGGCCTTGCATATCAGGCTGAGTTTGTCCTCTGTACTTAAATATACTGATTACCCTGCTCAAGCTTAGTTTTAACTTCAATTCTAATATTTTTTATTGGTTTTCTTTACTGTATCCCCTGCCCCTTTTTACAAGTGAGAGGGGTAGAAGTAGGAAAAAGAGAATAGCAACCTCAACACATGGTGGTAGAAGAGACACTAAGTGGTGAGTTTCACTTATTTTCTCTTTAAACTTCCCAACCTTCTTAAAAAGACAGTATTATTCTTTTCATAGATTAGGAGAGCAAGGTTTGGAGAAGAGAAATAGATTTTAAGTGTATACATTTAATACAATCCTGATTTTTAAATTTTTTTCCCACTGTAAAAATAGTTCTAAAGTTCATATGGAAAAAATAAGCAAGAATTACCAAAAAAACAAAGAACAAGGAAAAACTAGTTTAAAAAGATACTAGGGCTGGGGATTTAGCTCAGTGGTTCTGCCACCTGCCTCACAAGTGCAAGGTCCTCAGTTTGA